GGAAAAGAGAGAGGCGGCCGCGCGCGGCCAGCCCGAACAAGGGCGGCAGAGAATGGGAGGAAAGTAACCCTCGACGTTGCCGAGGGCCATCGGGGGGACGACGACTATACGCTGCCATAGCCTGCTGCTTATCGATACTGGAAATACTGGAACCACCGCCGCTCTCTCGTATCCGGCAAAGCTTCGTTCTCCGTCTCCCCTGGCCCGTTATTCTCGCTTCCCGTGTTACTACCTCGCGATTCGTCGTGTCGCAAGACGATCGGGGTCATGGCTGGAACGCGCAAACACCGCGCGACAACGATCGACGACGCGCTTCGACCACCAGTTGTGCCAATCCTATGACAATCCCAACCACGGGACATCGGCTAGGAATAGAGAGTCCGATCGTCGCGCAACCAATCGCACCCCCTCTGTCGCGGAGACCCTTCGAAACGTTACGCTCTCTCTATCTCTCTTCTCCTTCGATGAGAAGAGGTCACGGTTAATCGTCGACTTTCACGGAAATTCGTTTCGCGCCGATCATCGACGAGCTTGCTGATCGAGATCGCCGTTCTATCCGTCTCCGATGACTGAACGTAATCTCGCGTATCGCGAATAACGTCGTCCCTACTGCTTCGGTCCGGATCCACGTCTCATCGAATGTGTTACAAATTTAGGCGTCCTTCTTTAAATCGAGCAAACTGGATGGGGTCGCGCGTCCGTGTCTTTGCATGCTACCTCGACGAGTTGGCGATTAGTCGTCGTTTCCGCGAAGCCGACTAATGCGGAATGGCAGTGAGAGAGACGAGTTTACGCGAAAATTAGGCGGCGAAAGAGAAAAAACAGCGTCGCATCTCGATAGACGTTCCGCAGGGGTGGAACATTGCAAAAGGGAGAGAGAAGCACGGAGGGGGCGTATTGATCCACCAGCTGCGCGTTCTCTCACCCTCCATCCCCGCTTTGCCCATCCTGTCGTCCCCCACTGGCCGACTCCCTCGAATGGCTCGCTCCGTTTCACTTTGCTCTCCCTCCTCTTTCTCTTTCTACCCTGTTCCCGACGACTACACAGCGACGGGAACGATCCGCTCGCGACCGGCATCGACCGACCACGACCACCACCTATCGTTCCGCTCGCACCCTCGCAGCTTCCTTGGAATTCGCCTCTCGACCAATTCTCCGATCGTTCGCTTCTCCAATAGCGCCGGAGAACGCGACCTTTTGCGATACTAGTAGCCGCGGCTGTGCGCGAACGCGCGTCGCTCGTCGAACATGGTGGTCGTCGATGAAGATCGTAACGAATCGCGTTTTTCCGACCAAAAGCGAACGTGTGTAAAACCGCGAGTCGAGTGGAACTCGAGATAATCGGTAATCTATTCGCCAACTCGTCGAATCGAATTTGTCGCTAGTTCCCTCTCCCTCCTCCTTCTTTCGCCCTTTGTTTTCCATCTTCGTCGCGCTCCGTAAAGCGTTACGCGACTTGTCTCCTTCTCTCGCGAACCCTCGCGTCTCTCCTTCGCTGCCGTTACTCTCCTTCCGTTCTCCGCGCAGGAGTGTAGGTGCACGTACACGCGCGCATCGACACCCCTTCTTCTCTTTCTTCCCCAGCGCGATCCACGGAACCTTTCTACCCTCGGGAGCTTCCACTCTAGACCGCGCTGCGCCGCACCGCGCCGCAGCTTTTCCTCCACCCTCGGCAACCCCTCGTCCTCCTCGCACGCTCTGTCCACGTTCCTCGCGGCGATAGAACCGAACCGGAGTAACGTGCGTCTCTTTTACGCCCCTCGTCAACCCCCACTCACTCCCCTCGCAATCCGTCTCCACCCTACCTCTCCCTCTTTCTCTCTTTCTCTCTTTCTCTCTTCCTCTTTCTCATTTCCCCTGGTGAATGTACGATGGTCTTGGCGAATCCTGGCGGAAAAGGCACAACGGTGTACATCTCCATCGGAGTTCGCTGTAGCAGCAGGTCGACCGACAGAAACGCTACTCTCTCTCTTTCTCTCTCTCTCTCTCCAGATCTTTCTGCTCCGGCGCGTTCGGTCGTTCGGTCGGGATCGTGGATCGAAAGATCGATCGGATTTCCACGGACTCGAGGAATTCAACGTTCGCGCTTCGCTCCGTTGCCTTTCGGTCGACTTTCTTTCACCGATCCTCCGTCGTTCCAGTCCGTTCTTTCGGCCGTCCATATCCGCAGAGGATCGAGCGAACGGTCGGAAAGGGGCAAGCTCGCGTGCTAATTCAGCGGAAACGGTCGCAAAGAGATAATGCGCGTCGGTCGGTAGTTTGCCGAATAACGGTGAGCGGAGATGGAAGACGACGATCGGAGATGACCGTTGTTAGGGGTAACGACGATCGACGGCAGGGAGAAAATAACGTATCGTCCGTAGAGTTTGGCCGAGGCTCGTACGTGCCAACGGGAAACGCGTGTCCGGGAACGGTAAAAACGATCGATCCCGTTCGAGCTTTACAGCCGACCGCATCACCCACCAACTTTATCTTTCCACGCGGAAGCAACGTTATCTTTGCCAATTATTCACCGGCGATCGGTGAAGCAGCGCTACCGTACCGACGCGTTCTTATCGGCCGGATTAAATCTTTCGAAAGGCAGGGAAAAAGCACGGAAAAGAAAAAAACGTAACTCGGGAACTCGGATACAACGCTCGCGGAACGCGCGCCAAGCTACGACCGGATGCCGAGGGGCGGGGGGGGGGGGGGGGACCGCGCTCCCTGAGGGAGCCGGTCGCGCGCAGAATTTATACGCGACTCTGGAATCGATGAAACTTACCGAATGTCGATTCTGGTAACGAACAACCTGTGATAGCACACGACGGGGATGCAAACGATCACGAACGCTTTGAGCAACAGAAGCGGTATCATCTGAAACGAAACGGAAAGAAACGGATTAACCACCTGCCCGCGGATCAGTCGGATTTCGTTTGTCTCGCGGAACGAGAACCAATTATGAAAATTTAACGGTCAGCGATAAGCCGGCGGAGAAGTATTTAACGCGAGAGAGACCGATTCGGAACGTTCCGACGCGTTTCAGGCGGATTCAAAGGACGAGGAGGAGGTACGGAGGCGCGTTTAATGCCGCGCGACGCGTAAACACGAGCGTGAAAAGGAAACGAGGGCCTAGCCGCTGGTTCGCGAGACGGACAATGAATTACCAGCGGTAAACCGTCGTCAGGGAAAGCGTTTTTCCACGCGACTCTCCCTACGCTAGTAATTAAAATGCAACCTGTCGTTAATTACGCAACGATACCGAGCCCCAGTTCCGACCCTTCGCTTTCGCTATTCACGTTCTATTATTGTAGCGAGATTTAATCGTTCGCGGGGTCGAACGAGATTCGCGAAAGCGTCGGAATTCTCGATCTACGACGTTGCGGCCCCGCTACACGCGTAAGAGATCGTCAGTCGGGTACAGTGTTTCTTCTCTTCCCTTTATTTTTCTCCTTTTTTTTTTTTTCTTTTTTTCAATTTTCGGTTTCTTTCTCCTGCTCCTCTTTGACATTATCCATCGATAGAGATATGGAGGATGGAAGGAACGAAATGTCTAATCGATGACGAATCGGTGTGTGTTTCAGCGCCGGCATGGAGGCGGCGAACGGTGCGATCGAGCACGACTTTCACAATGCCTTGGTGCCTATAAACGGTAGCCATTCCGGCAGCTCCGGCAGGAGTACACCGAATGGCGGCGATCCGGCACCTGGCAAACTCTTCGTCGGTGGCTTGTCCTGGCAGACCAGCAGCGAGAAGCTCAGGGAGTATTTCGGCATGTTCGGTACCGTCACCGATGTCCTGATCATGAAGGATCCGGTTACACAGGTCGGTTTACTCGATGGGAAGCTCTCCGTCGGCTTGACCATCTCGGTCGATGGCCCGTTCGCTCGAGCTTCTTTCCTATGCGTCTAGATCGCGACAAGTATCGTTGTTAGCATTTTTGAAAGTAAAGAAAGAGAAAAGAAAAAGAAAGGAACGAAATAGAAGAAGCTCGAGAACGGACTACCGATCCGTTCAAATTCTTGTCCATTTCCTCCTCGATAGGTCAAATCGTTTGCATCGGCGTTATCGGCCGATTCGGGAAAGAAAAAATGAAAAATATTCGGGATCGGGGATGGGAAGGGGATAGAGAGGGAAAAAGATCGAAACGCAATTCGCCTCGAGGAGATTCGATGCACCAGTTTCTTCCTTCCACTTTTGCACGAGACTTCACACAGTAGATCGTAGAGAAAAAGTTGTACTAATCGATGTAACTAATTTGCTGAGACAGTGTAAAGGAAGTAGAAGCGTATCTTGGTATTTTACTGTATTAAAACATGTATTTAAAACGTAAAAGGTGGAAAAGAGGCAGAGGCTCGTTTCTAAAAAGATACGTTCGCACGGGATTCGAGAGAGATCACGAACGAGGATTGTGGGCATTAGATATTATCGTATTCGGTAGCGATGCAATTAACGACCGTAACTTCAGTTGAATCTTATCATATTTATTCGAAGTCCTTGTCTCACGTAATCCTAGAATGTTTGTCTTACATTGGCTTGGACAGTCTTGCATGTAAACGGTAGTTTGGTAGTATTTAGTTAACTGTACATAAAAGGAGATTTTATGGTACCTCTTTTACATACAGAGTAACGATATATATATATATATTTATTTAGAGATAACCGAGACAGGATACTTTTTGGACGAAACGCGACGGTAATGAGAGCTTTCTCGTTAAACGGCAAAGCTACGATATTATAGGAAAACGAAAAGAGAGGTTAGTCGCGACGCGTGTACGTAGCGCCGCGTGCGTCGTGAAGAATCCGTGCGAAATCGACGTCCGCGATTAACCTGTTCGCCGTGTCACCCAGCTTCCTTTTTTCGCGAAACGATCTCGGTAACGTTCCACGGTGAACAAGTGAATGGTCGATAAGCATCGGACGCTGGATGAGATCGACGAACACGATGGAGTGTATTTATATACATATATATACACAGGCGGATTATCGTAAAGCTATATAAATAGGGATACATTCGATACGCAAAAGGAGCAGCGTAAGCGTGCGAAAACGAGACAGGACGAGGCGAACTGGCGAAAAAGTAATTAAAAGGAAAAAAGGAAAAAAAAAAAAGAAAAAAGAGATAGAATGAGAGAGCGATGAGAGAGAGAGAGGAAAGGAGAGCGAGAGAAGAGAGAGCGATAGAGAGGGAGAGAAAGAGAGGGCGTGAGTGCGGGTGCGAGAGGCGAGAAAGTTGAAAGAGACGGTCGTTGTGCATCGTGGCCGTTCTGGCTTGTTCGGTTACAGCGTAGTCGCGGCTTCGGTTTCATCACGTTCGCCGAGCCCGGTAGCGTGGACAAGGTGCTGAAGTGTCCAATCCACACGTTGGACGGGAAGAAGATCGACCCGAAACACGCGACGCCAAAGAATCGCGCGAAACAGGCGAATCGGACGAAGAAGATCTTCGTCGGCGGCGTGAGTCAGGATACCAGCAGCGACGAAGTGAAGGCCTATTTCAACCAGTTCGGCAAGGTGGAGGAGACGGTTATGCTGATGGATCAGCAGACGAAACGACATCGCGGCTTCGGGTTCGTCACGTTCGAGAACGAGGACGTGGTGGACCGCGTGTGCGAGATCCACTTCCACACGATCAAGAACAAGAAAGTGGAGTGCAAGAAGGCTCAGCCAAAGGAGGCGGTGCAACCGGGCGCGTTGACCCTCGGGAAGAGGGTGGTGTTGGGCGCGCTGGGCGTTCGACTGGCGCCTCAGCCGCCGCTACCGGTCGCCGCGGCCTCGCAGATCGTCGCGGCTCAGGCGCAGGCCCAAGTGCAAGCTGCCGCGGCCGCGGCCGCGGCTGCTCAGGTTCAGAACGCTGTCGCCGGATACGGCAAGCTGTTCGCCACCGCCACGCCTGCAGCCGCCGCCGCAGCTGCGGCCGCGCCCGCCAACCCCTACCAGGGATACTCGCTCACCAACGTCGACATGTCCAGCTTCCAGGGTGTCGACTGGGGTTCCATGTACGGAATGGGCATGTACGTTTAAACGCGCCGTGCGTCGTTGCTTCGGTCGCCTTTCCACGTTTTTTCCACGTTTTTTCGACGTTTTTTTCGACGATCGCTCTGTTGCGCGATCAAAGATATATTCCGCAAACTCTCCGATCTTCCGCCGCCGCCGCCACCATCACCATCACCACCGCCGCCGCGGACGCCGCGGACGCCGCGGATCCCGCGTCGCCGACGACGCCAGTAAAATACATCGTTGTATACCCGCGACCCACCGAGTATCTCTTCTTATCCGCTATCTCTTCCACGCTACGTCACTATTTCCTTTGCCCTATCGAACGGTTCTCCGTTTTTTCCCTTCCTCGTCGAAGGGGCTTTCTTTTGCCTGTGAATCGAGCACGATTACCATACCTCGTCGCCGGAAACTTTCGGGATCGCTTACTTCTCCGTTTTCTTTTTTCTTTCTTTTCTATTTTGCAACTTTCTCCTTTCCCTATATATCTCATCGCGCCTCGATCCGCGACTTGGACGAGGCAACGCACCCCGAGAATTAATGAAATCGCGAACTGCGGAAGAGACGTCGGAAACGAAGGGAGAAAGAGAGGAGCGAGGAGAGAACGGACATGGAAAGAAACTCGAAAGCGTCGCAGAGTCCGAGGTGCGTCCTCGAGGCGGGCACGAGGATTTTCTTGCCCGAAAACACACAGAAGTCATTCTTCTTGCGTTTACTACTTACTCGTCATTATCGCTTGTCGATTAATTTATTAGCGAAAGTGTGAGAGGCAGTGAGGAAAAGTGGGAGAATATTATATATGCATGTGTGCACGTGTGAAAGGGGGAGAGAGAGAGAGAGAGAGAGAGAGAGAGAGAGAGAAAAAAAAAAGAAGTCGCGCGTAAACTCAGTCGCATCGCATGTTTCGTTGCAATAACCGTTCGTCCTTTCGTTCGCGAATTTTGTTTCTATTCTTTCTTTTTTTTTTCTTCTTTTTATCTCCCCCTTCCTTCTTTTATACTCTCTCCGTTCTTTTTTTTTTTTATTTTTTATTTTGGCCCATTGCAATTATTTCACGCGATTCGCATTTTCGTCGCATTCGGTTCCTATATAGTTAGATTAGCACGCTCCCTGACACGATACGCGCGACGTTGTTCCATCGCGCTCACCCGTGCGGTAATTCTGTAATTACTTAATTAATTAAGCGATATCGGCGGTCGTTCGCGACCGGCCCACTCTCAAGGATCTCGACCACGAAGCAATAAAACAGGGGAGCTAACACGAGAAACGGAGATACCGAGGACAGTACATCGGATGCGTTGTACCGTGAACGACCTCGCGAACCGATTCTACTACGAGATAGAGAGAGAAAGGGAGAGAGAGAGAGAGAGAGGATTCGTTCGCTTCGCTTTCCTCTTTAACTTCTCGCGGATTGTCCTGTCCCATTTTTCGACTTCCAAAAAAAGAAAGAAAAAAAAAAAAGAAAAAAAGGTGAAAAAATGAAAAAAAAAAGAAGAAAATAAGAGAGAAAAGAAGAAAAAAAAATCGGGCCAATGTTGTTGGCACAGCCGAACGAGAGCACGCGGGAAACGGACGCGTTCGAAAAACGACGATCGCGATCCACGAAACACACGCTCGCGCGCGCGCGCGCACACACACATACACACACACAACACATATAGACACACGGATGCACACGCACGCAAACACTTTTCTTCCGCTCCAGGGAACGAGGCAGTTCTCCTGTTTGTCGCGCGACATACTCCTCCGCCTCGGTCAAAGTGCCAAACGAAGCATGTGAAAACGTTCTAGCTATTCGTCTTTCTATTTTTCTGTCCCTCCTCTACCCCACCGTTTATCCGCTCGCAAGCTTTCATCGCGATCTCGGCTGCTAATTCTTCTTTTCTCGATCGTCGCCGCGTTCCTGCGCGTTTTCGTTCGGCGAAACACGGTTGGCGTTCGCGTTCGGTCACACGGTCGCAAACACGCACGGTCGACTGCAACACGCGTACGTAAAGAGAAGGAAAAGCATACGGTGTACGAGCACAGACACCGACGACATGCAGGACACGTACACGCGTACACACGTACAAGGAACGCGTCTAAATAAGATAGCGCATAGGTATACATATATTTTTCTTCGGAGTAACGGAAGACAATATTTCTCCATCGCGCGAGTAGCACGAGCAGCACGCGATTCGACCGCGACAGTGAGAGAGCGTGAGAGAGCGTGAAAGAGAGAAAATGAGAGAGAGAGAGAGAGTCAGAAAGAGAGTAAAAGAGAGAGAGAGAGAGAGAGAGAGAGAGAGAGAGAGAGAGAGAGAGAGAGAGAGAGAGAAAGAGAGAGAAACACAATTATGAGGGATACTCGTTTCTAGGTATACTAGAAGTCGCTAGCAACGCGACTACGGTAACAGGAACCCAAGATTGAGATTAGCTCAGCGTTAATTAAGCGAATCTAGTTTGTAAGTTTCAAGCAGGTTAAGCTAGAATTTTAAGGCGTTCGTAACAAAACGAGTCGATACTTAATTTATACGTATCCGTGCGCGCCACGCTGTTCTCGCTTTCGCGACCAGAGATCGATCGAGGTGACTGCTTCCGCGGCTCGATCTTCCGCCGCTTCGAATCGACTCGCGCACGCGCGCTTCCAACCGCCGTCTTCGACGTCGATCCTTTCACTCCCTGCGATCTCGCCTACTCTTCGTTTCGCCAGAGGAAAATCCCCTTTTTCTTCCTTTCGTTCTACCTCCTGTTCTACCTCCTATTCTGACCCACTGTCGTCCCATTCCGCTCCCATCCGCTCGTCGCGAGACCAGCGTCGAAGGATCGAACGCGTAGACGGCGGAGAGAGCGCGAGTCTTCGCAGAGACGTAAATCAGTGATCGGAATCTGCGATTCTCCTATTTATTTATAAAACCGTTCGTTCGCCTTAGTCTCGCGAATCATCGACGCGTACGATCGACGAGCATTTTTCGACCGGTCGGGGGCGGAAGATCGACGGACGAAGCGATCCCGTGCACGCAGACGCCGCGATACGCGGAGAAACCGATGGAACGAAGAGAAGAGTCGTCGTCGGCGAGAGGAACGCGGTGCCGCGACACAAATGCGTGAGAAACTTCGAGCAATAAGCGATCTACTGAAACTTTAAGCTGTGTACCGATTAAGTTTATTAACGAGATACGATAAGCGCGACAGCGCGAAAAGAGTAAAATTGAGGAAGAAAAAGAAAAAAAAAAAAAAAAAAAAAAAAAAGAAAGAGACGATAATCTGTACGCGTGAAATGATACTTAAGAGAAAGAGATTCGCTCCTACGACGATCGGGAAAGAAAAAAGACGATCGGCAAAGGCGTAAGAACGGAGCGGATAAAGTTCGAGGGTAGAGTCCTCTTGCAAACGATAAGTAATATTCTTTAGTGATATACACTTTAAACGTATACTTAATATGTACCGTAATGTTAACGACGACAAAGCTCGCGAGTGATATTTATGACTTATAAGAAGGTACTTAGACGATTAAGAAAAAAAAAAGAAAAAAAAAAAAATTGAGAGAGAGGAAGAGCGAGAGAGGGAGAGAGGGAGCAAAA